GCTCTACAAAAAGAACCCTCAAATGACCCTTGCCGAAATGAAGTATGGGAATATATTCAAGAATTTCCCGGAGGACCCAAGGAAGGCAATTGTTTTTGTTTATACTTTGATCAAAGTAATGTTTAGCTTTTTACCCTGATGAGGTGTTTTTGAGAAAAATATTTCAGTTATAAAATAATGAGTTCTCAATCTGAGTTGGTTTATGGAATGCATTATAATTTAATGGAGTTCTTAGAGCCAGTATTAAGGTTTTTTTTTTCCTTCTTTTTTTGTTTGGTATTATTTCTAGCCATCTCATGTAGTTTAATGGTTTAATAAATATTTTCTCAACCTTGTAATCGAAAGAAAATAATTTACTGGCATATCTAATAGTGTTTTTTTAAGTTGTTAATTTTTACAGTTTTAAAAAAAATTAATGATAGACTGATTTATAAATAAAAAGTAAATATTAAAAATAATTATAATTATTTTCTGAAATTTAATGCAGGTAGAAGAAACATGAAGTTCTGAAATTTTCTTTTATTTTATTTGTTTTACTATAAGGGATCGTTTCTGGGTCATCAAACCACTTCAGCAAATGTGTGAAATCTTGAATTTCTTTTCCAATCGCGATATGGAGTAAGAGATCGTGTGGGTTAGAAACTGGTGTTGAATCGATCGGAGCCACGATAGTCAAAGACGTGAGGAGCTCCAATAGGGTCAAAGATGTGATCTAGTCAATGGTGCATGGGTATGAGTTCGACGTTGCAAGGGTTCGAGCAGCGGCAAGGCTAGATTATGGGTGTTGATAATGGTTGATGATGAAAGTTTCAATGGAGGTAATACGGTGTACGAAGGACAGTATGAATACGAGATGCTCGCGGGCTTCACGAAGCTACATGGTGTTCAAGAGATGGGATCGTACGCGCTCCGAAACCAAGTTGAAATTCAAAGTTTTAAGAATAATTACAGAAAGATAAATGAGGTAAACATGTCCACATTCAGCCACCCGCCGCCACCGACCACCTGCCACAGCCGCCGCCGCCAAGCACCTCCACCGCCAAGGCCGGATGCCCGCACCGCCAACTAGCAACCGCCGGCCTACCACCGCCCATCGCCGGCCTACCACTGTTTGCAGGGGACCAACTCCGGTGCCGTTTAATTTATTCACCTTTAAAAAAAAGATTTTCTATCATTGAAGGGACTTGAACCTTAACCCTTAAAGGAGGAGGGCTCACTCACAAACCACTATACCAAACTTGATTTTGTAATATTTATTCAGTTATACAATATTTATATAAACAATCAACGGTTTTTTTTATGAAAAAAAAAAAATCATTTCAACACATATTCACCCTTATTATCAAGGCTGCTCCACGTTACGTCATCTTCTCTACGTCAAGAGAAACTAAAATAGCAGTCCACTTAAATTGATTAATAATTTTTTATTGAGAAAATTAATAGATGCTTCCACACTTAGTCATGCCCACTAAGACTACTATATAGATGCTTCCACACTAAGTCAATGTCATGCCCACTAAGACTTCTATATAGATGCTTCCACACTAGGTCATGCCCACTAAGACTTCTATATATATACAAAGGGCACATTACGTAATTCTCAAGTAAGATCACAAAGTACTTCAAATAAAATACAACAACATATTTTCTATGGCGAAGATTGGAGGCGTAGTCATGGAGAAAATTGGTGAAGCTTCTCAATGGATTGCATCCAAAATCAAGGATTTTCTTCAGTATTTGTCAAACAAGGCAACAGAGCTTCTCAACGTAGCACGGCGGTTTTTCGACAATTTTTCGGAGGAATTCAAAGAAGCCCTTGTGAAATCTAAGTGCGTTATTGACGACACTATAGCGAAAGCAATGGAGCTTATGAGTAAATGGACAGATGCGGCCTGCAATTCGATCATTGAATTGAAGAATTTGGTAGCTTCAATGCTGAAGCTGATGCTAGACCTTTTTCATAGGGGCCTGAAGAGATTTCTTAGTTTGATGAAAGAATTTGTGAGAAAAACAAAAACCAAGTGTGTGTTGTTTACTGCGTTGTTTACTGCGAGAGGGAAGTTAAGAGACCTATACTGTCTGACAAAAGGGCTTTTAGAGTTGCTTGATATCATATTGGTTACTAAGCCAATTGTTTTAGTTGTCTTTGAAGCTGTTGCGCTCTACAAAAAGAACCCTCAAATGACCCTTGCC